CACCACTTCGGAGGCCGCCGTTTTTCTTTTCTCGACTGCTTGCCGCGCCGCGCGGCCCCAGGGCCTCCGAGTTTCGCTTGTGGAGACTAAAAACTTTCTGTAAGGCTGGGGCCGTGTACTTGCGGTTTAAACTAGGCATGGGATGGTGTACAGCCTGATATTGTTCTTTTTGGGGAGGTTTGGAATGGTGGCCACCTCTCAAGAACAGCCAGAGAGTCCCGCTAGCACCAACGCCAAATACCAGTCCAGTCTGCCAAACGAGATACTCCCTGCACAACTAACAAAAACCGGACTAAAAACGGAGCGCGGGCCATGAACAATATATACCGATTCCCGGATAACAGTCTGCTCCCCACTGCAGGAAGGTTGGCATAGCAGTGGAGATAGATCGTAAGGATGATAATAGAATAATAGAACGATTATGCGAGGACACAGTGGACACAAAGGGGTTTTGGTGAGGGGTGGAACATGGGGTGGTCATGACTGCACCGCACTGTACCACATATAAGACCACAGACCTGGCCAAAGACACTCCACACTGAGGAATGTTATTTCGGGGGCAAGAATATAAGGATGTACAATAGGGTTAAGGGTTTAATGGGTGTTAACGGGTGTGCGGGTCTCATTGGATGGTCGATACCACAAATAGCTCACTTACAAACACTATTAATCATAGCTCACACGGTACGCTGCTATGGGGGACAAGAAACACATATAGTAACACTTTCAACTACACCTCATGCAGCACAAGTCTATAGATAGCAATGGGCGTCAGCTCCAGCATAATGCAACAAGTAGATGGACTGTGATCGACAGTCAACAGGTCACACAAACAACACTAGTCTAAGAACTGAAAATCCTTCCACAACTCCATTAAAAACAGAATTCACAGAAGGCTGGGATACTCATCGCCCAGCCCCCTCATGGATACTGAGGGTCTCGTTCTACACCACTTGAACTCAAGGATTTTCGAAGGAAGCGCCGTTCCACCCCTCCCTAATTACATAGATTTGGATGTCCAGAATGTTCCCACATTTTGCATCTCAAGGGTCCGCCCTTGAAACTCAAGTTCGGCCCAGCCCAAACAGCGAAAATCTCAAGGGAGCCTCAGGAGGTTACTTGAGTTTCGAGGGCTGGATTATTCCAGCCCTTGAAACGGGGAATTTATGAAACTTTTTCCTTTTTTTTGGATTATTCCACCAATCACCACTGTTCCTCCTGCAATGCTGTCAGCACTTCAGTTCCAAGGGCGGCCGTCTCAAGGTTTTGTGGAGCGAAAAAACGAGTTAGGGGAACTTAATCACCCTTCGTGAGTTAGGGTGCCCTTGAAACTCAAGTATTTTCAAGTGGTGTCGAACGAGGCCCTGATATCTTATGTTAGCAATACTCCTATTGAATACACTGTTACTCTACAGGGACACTGGACCCGATTTCCAGCAGGTGCTGCTCCCCACCAGTAGATGGAGCCTCCCCAACAGTGCTAGTGGTGTCTGCTCTTATCAGCACCTCTAGCAGCTGTTCGGGCAGTTTCTCGAAGAAAAAAAAAACGGGGTAAGTACGTTCATGTCACCTTTGAGTATCGAATGGACAAAAAAAACACGTGTCGGCAATGAAAACCGCGCCGAGTTCAGAAAGGCAACGGAAGCACCGACTGCCGTGGTGTCAGACCGGGTGTCATATTTACAGGGGTCAGCCCTGTTGTCAGAGGGGAAAACAAAACAAAAAAAAAAAAGCCGAACAGATACTTTTGAACTGAAATCGCTCATTTTGAGTTGGCGCGTGGTTTCGCTGCACGCGGAAGTTTTTTTTGCCTTTAGAGTTTCAAAACATGCCACGTCCACCGTTATATATAAAAAAATAAAAAATAAAAAATGCAGGCCTTTTTTTTTTTTTTTTTTTTTTTTAACTTCACATCCAGGAAAAACCTAGGTGGTAACATCATCCTCCAAGGCTCCATCTATTGGTGGGGAGCTACACCTGCTGGAAACCGGGTCCAACGTCCTTAATACGAAGACGTGTTGTGTATCAGCTGGGAATCCAGCCCAGCGTCCCCATACATGATGTGTGGATATGTCATACTGTGCATCCAGTATTGTCCTACTGTGCATCCCGTATTGTCTGTATTGTCTGTATATGTTCATCAATATATGGGCGATGAATGAAGAACCCTATCTACCCCATCCAGCTTATGGACTCTGAACCCTTTTTTTTGGGGGGGGGTAACTACGGTGCAGTCACGAAAGCAGTTTGTAATTGCATTTGAGACTGCGTTTTAGCAGTTTAGTCAGGGCCTGAGTGTCAATTGCAGTTGAAACTCGGGCTGCCTTTAGGTAGCAGTTCAGTCAGGGCCCGCATCCATCCACGAACAGCAGATTAAAAAAAACAAAAACAAAAAGCATACCTTATGCGGTGATTGCGGTCCAATACAGGATGCTACAGTACTTGTCTGGAACTTAGCTGCCTCGTGTGGAATCCGCCCTGCCTGGCTGGCAGGGCGCGACAAGGACCTCACAACAAGAAACAAAAAAGGAAAACGACCTGTTTCCACTTCCTGGCCAGATACATTCCTCAAAGCACTGGTGACGCGAGGGCCTAGGTGGATTCGAAGTTCCTCTTTTCTTTACTTTTTTATTTCTTCTTTTTCTTTTTTCTTTGTTTGGCCTCCATCCCTGCCCCGAGCCCCCCACTTCTTGGCAGTAGGCTACTCTTGAGACTTCTCGTTTGCCTGTGAAGGGTAGTGCCTGCGAATCTCGGCTGTGGCCGAGACATCTCGGCCGTGGCCAATCTAGATTGGCCGAGACATCTCGGCTGTGGCCCAACCATGGGGCTGTTTTTTTTCAGCCGCGGAGCGGCACGGCGCATTGCGGCACGCGACCGGAAAAAAAAATTAAAAAAAAATGAAGAAAGAAAGAAACCGCCATGAGCCTGACTGAACTGCTATGAAAAGCCAGCCCGAGTTTCAAACTGCTAAAACGCAGTTTCAAATGCAATTGAAACTCGGGCCCTGACTAAACTGCTAAAACACAGTTTCAAATGCAATTACGAACTGTAACCCTGACTGCGCCGTAGTTTTCTTCTTTTTTTTTTTTAATAAGACTCTGCAGAGTCTAATAGGGTGGGTGATACGAGCAGCCCCTCCTACTAGATCTGCCTTGGTCACTCCATCTATTGGTGGGGAGTTGCACCTGCTGGAAACCGGGTCCAGCGCCCCTCAATTCCATTTGGAAATATTGAAAATCCCCTTTTGCAGAGGTGAGCACAACCTCTTCACCGAAATATGGGCGCCAGATCTCATTTCTAATACAAGCTATGGTTCCTCT